CTGCTTCGTTTCGTCGTCTTTCTAGTCTCGGGTGGGACGGGCCGCTACGCAGTCGGAAGTGGAGCATCTCTGCTTCCTGATCACGTCCTTGTCTTTTCTTCCTTCGCTTCTTTGCTGATGAACCACTCGCTCTCACGAGTCAGCCCACACTTCCACCCGTATTCTCACGTACGTTCCTCTGGCTTCGGGTACCCCTTCCCTTCCTTCACTGAGCTGATGTCCCCTACCCTGTATTTAAGATCTTGGGTATTCTGCTACTTTTGGCGTCTTCCAGCCCCACAAACACCACTACAGCCTCCGTTTCTCTTCCTAATTCTCAGAATGCCTGGAACTCGTCGTCTTCCCTAAAATCATTTCCTCCCCTATTTACAGCTTGCCCATTTTTAGCAGCGATATGACTGTTCCTTCAGTGTTCCAGGACAAAAACCGTGCAGCCTTCACTAGGTCTTCCCTGTCTGTTCTGTCTGAAGATTAGAGTTCTTGGATTTCTGCTTTGCTGTTCGTCGGCAAAGAATCTGTTGAGACCGTCTCCTCTAAATTCAGTCCCTCTGTGTCTCCTCTGAGCCACCCTTCAACTAACTGTCGCCCGAAGTGGAGTTCCCTTACTGGTTCTTAGATATTAGCTGTGAAATTCAACGAGAGATTCTCTTGCTATTTTTAAATTTTATTTATCATTCTCCTTACCTCTATCCAAACTTTTCCCCAAATATTAGGGCTCGATTTGAAACTCCCCAAGAATTTCCTGAAGACTTTGCGTTTGTTTAGCTGCATTAGGTCGTCCCCACAGCAGCATCCTGTTGTCGTCGTCATTTTTCCCTCTATTCAGAGAATACAGCATTTTCTTTTTTCTTTCAGACTGGGAGATAAGACCAGAACATAGCCTATCAGTCCCAGAGCCGGGCACTTCTGCAGAGCCAGCTCCAGAGGCAACAGTGGAAAAATGCAAAAGCAACGATCCTGGTAGCTCTAACTTCTCAGAAACTCGGGTGTCCAGACGCAGTCCAGAGAGGCAGCAGGCAGAGGGACAGACACTGCCAAGGGGAATAAACTCAACTGAAAAGGCAACGTCTGCTTTGGAGCGAGACCCTGTAGATCACGACTTTGGAAAAGGCCTCAATATCAGTTCCAACCTTGTAACACAACAAAAGATATCTCCGGAAGAGTCCTCTACGAAACCACGCATCAAACGGAATTCAAACCCAGTTAAAAAAGAGAAATCTTGTAAGTGCAACGAATGTGGGAAAGCTTTTAGTTATTGTTCAGCGCTTATTCGCCATCAGAGAACGCACACTGGAGAAAAACCCTACAAATGTAACGAATGTGAGAAAGCCTTCAGCCGCAGCGAAAACCTTATTAACCATCAAAGAATTCATACTGGAGATAAACCCTACAAATGTGATCAGTGTGGAAAAGGCTTCATTGAGGGTCCATCTCTTACTCAGCATCAAAGAATTCACACTGGAGAAAAACCCTACAAATGCGACGAATGTGGTAAAGCCTTCAGTCAGAGGACCCATCTCGTTCAGCATCAGAGAATTCATACTGGCGAGAAACCATACACTTGTAATGAATGTGGAAAAGCCTTTAGCCAGAGGGGCCACTTTATGGAACATCAGAAAATTCATACAGGAGAAAAACCTTTTAAATGTGATGAATGTGATAAAACTTTCACCAGGAGCACTCACTTAACTCAACATCAAAAAATTCATACTGGAGAGAAAACTTATAAGTGTAATGAATGTGGGAAGGCCTTCAATGGGCCCTCGACATTCATCCGTCATCACATGATTCATACTGGCGAAAAACCGTACGAATGCAATGAATGTGGGAAAGCCTTCAGTCAGCACTCAAACCTCACTCAACACCAGAAAACGCATACTGGGGAGAAGCCGTACGATTGTGCTGAGTGTGGAAAATCCTTTAGTTACTGGTCATCCCTTGCTCAACATCTGAAAATTCATACTGGAGAAAAACCTTACAAATGCAACGAGTGTGGCAAGGCCTTCAGTTACTGCTCATCTCTCACTCAGCATCGGAGAATTCACACCAGAGAAAAGCCCTTTGAATGCAGTGAGTGTGGGAAGGCTTTCAGTTACCTCTCCAACCTTAATCAGCATCAGAAGACTCATACCCAAGAGAAAGCTTACGAATGCAAAGAATGTGGCAAAGCTTTTATTCGGAGCTCATCTCTTGCTAAACACGAAAGAATTCACACCGGCGAGAAGCCTTATCAGTGTCACGAGTGTGGCAAGGCCTTCAGTTATGGCTCATCCCTTATTCAGCACAGGAAAATACATACCGGAGAAAGACCTTACAAGTGTGGTGAGTGTGGCAGAGCCTTCAACCAGAACATACACCTTACACAGCATAAAAGAATTCACACGGGAGCAAAGCCTTATGAGTGCGCCGAGTGTGGCAAAGCCTTTCGACATTGCTCATCTCTTGCTCAACATCAGAAAACTCACACAGAAGAAAAACCCTACCAGTGTAACAAATGTGAGAAGGCTTTTAGCCAGAGCTCCCATCTGACTCAGCATCAAAGAATCCACACTGGCGAGAAGCCCTACAAGTGCAACGAATGTGACAAAGCCTTCAGCCGGAGCACTCACCTGAGCGAGCATCAGAACACCCACGCTGGGGAGAAGCTGTACAGCCGTGATGAATGCAGGAAGACTTTCAGCCAGAGCACATGCCTCGTTCAGCATCAGAGAGTTCATTCGGGAGAGAAGCCTTTTGGATGTAACGACTGTGGAAAAGCCTTCAGATACCGCTCTGCTCTCAGCAAACATCAGAGGCTGCACCCTGGCATATGACTGTTCTAGAAGCATCATAAACGTGGGCGTGCGTTTACTCTGCTTTGTCCTCTGTTAAGTACCGAAGAACCAGAGCAGATTGAGAAACTGACTGCTTAAACCGTTTTAACTTCTCACTGCCGTGCTATGGAATCATTGGCCTGAGTAATCACTTATGTTGTTAAGCAAGTTTGTGACATTGGAAAATTCAGCTGCTTTAAATTTCACTTTCTGCCATGAAACGAGGGATTTGGAATAGATGATGTCAGAGGTCGTTTGGAGTTTTATATTCAGTTTTGCTTATTCACGATATAGTCTTGAATAGGATTACTATACATCACATTTTGCCGTGTTGCATCTAGAGTGTATATTTATGCATGTTTTGCTAGCAAAGCACTTACGCTTCAGTAACTGGAGTGGAGATCTATTATGCTCCTGTCCTCATGCATTTGAGTTGTTTAAGTAACTGTTTCCTAATAAAAATAAACCCAAAATACTCTCATGTTAATGTTTCAGTAATATATAATGGCTTAACTCAGTACGAGTTTTCGACTTTTCTTTTCTAGTATGTTTTAACGTTTAGTTTATCATAACTAGAGATTTTCTGCAGCTTTAACAAGTGTTATTTAACCCCGGTTACACAGTGGAATCACTTTGGGAACTTAATAAAACCATTGCCAAGCCCCTCTCCCAGAGGCTGTCATTGAATTGGCCTAAGGGGGTGGGGCCCAGACATCAGCATATATTTTTTAACTCCTGGTTGTGGTGCATCTATAAAATGAAGGGTACCCAAGGAGTTAACCATTAATTTCGTCAGGTGTGATAGCATGTGTGAGAATAGTCTGTGGTTTTTAGAAATGCATAAGGAAGTATGTAGGATTAAATTGCATGTCTCACTTTCATTTAAAATTTAAAATATCAGCAAAAGAATAAAAGAAAAAAAGGACTAATAAAGGAAATTGATAAATTTTTAATAATTAATGAATCCTGGCAATGAGCATATAGGAGTTTTATAATTTTGTATATGTTTTAAATTTGTCATAATTTTTATAAGTGAACGTTTTATCACTTATTTCCTAGAGAGCATGTTTAAAATAGATTTGACATTTTTTATGATCTTGGAGGTAAAAATGAACAATTTTAAAAGTGTAAACAAAAGTTCTAGAAAGAAATGAAGAGTTTATTCTGATATGACTTGCAAATAAGAGAACGTGGCTTTCCTCACGAACTGAAAACATGCCTCTGAAGTGGGGAGAACGGCACAGCGTGCTTAAAGGCACACGTTGCAGCAGATCCAGGGTTGCTAGGAAACAAGGCCATAAGTTTACATAACTCATTTTTTGATTGGAGGGGCAACTGGACATTCAGCACTCAGCCACTCAGTGGTCTGCAAGTGGGGTTATGAGATGAGAACGATGAGTAACATAAGCATCTCTCAATGTCCTAGTCACCGTTCAGGTCCGCAGAACACAGGGTTTTGGTCAAATAGGTTTGTACAGGGAGTGTAGTTTGTGGCACAGCTGAAGCAGCATCAGGAGGCTGTCTGCCACAGGCGGTCTGGAATCTGAGAGCCAAAGTCATGCCTTGTCGGTAGCTTCAGAGTTTCAATTACAAAAAATTCGAACGTTGGCCACAAATTACGATGTTAAAGTTATTATAAGTCCTCAAAAGGCGCAGCCTTGTCTTGATTGCCCTGCAGCGCCTTTTCCTAAGTTCTCTCCTCTGCCCTTCCTTTCCAGCTCCTTCATCTCCTCGCATAGGCTAATTTTAAAGACGTGTGTTGGGAGAGAAAAGGCAAGGGGCGATGTGAAAAGATAGATCTGGCTTTGAGGGGATGTGAAAGTTAAATTTATCACCAGCTGTTGTCTCCATCTCCCAAAACAGCATGAAAAGCCATCAACTAGGAATTGGGGCAAAGGGCCATTCCACAGTCACTTCCAAATCCATGCTGACAGCTTTCAGGCACCTGGGATTCTTAACCACCTGTAGTCTGTTTTCTGTCTTTAATTGTTAAAAATAATAACATGCAACACCTGATTAGTTTGCAAGAATGACTTAATTCGTACCAGGAAAGGTAGGAAATCACTAGCAGAATTTCAACAGAATCTTATGCATGAAAATCAGATAGAAAAATGACTATACTGATTGAGCCAGCATAGCCAACAATGCACTTTCTTCATTAAAACCAAGTATTAAATTGAATTTAGTCAGATCTCCAAACTGTAGCAAAAGGCATTCAAACAATGTTAAGAGCACCTGGAGCGCAGTCAGGTGTTTGTACCACGAAGAAATACTTTTCACTACAGAAGAAACCTGAAGCACCCATCCTTGCTCCTGCGGTGGTGCGCCTGTCGGTGTGGGGCACCCACGCGCGCTCACGCCTGGCGCTGTCGGAAGGGAGGCGATGCCTGGGGTCCGCAGGCTGAGAAGTGAGCGCCTTGCCGACCCACAGAGGGGGCCAGCGGCCTCAGGGGCTCCGGGCCGTCCTGCCCCCATGTGCCCCAGCCCGGCGGCTCCTCGCGTGGCCCCCGCAGCCACATTGGGACACGCATGTGTCTTCTAGATGAGAAGTCTGGATCTGAAGCCAAGATATAAACAGTAGAGCAGCAGGACATTTTCAAAGAAGGTTTATACCAAGGGATAAAGGCGGAAGAGGAAATCTATGGGGGAAATCTAGAGGCCAGTTTAAGACTCATCACCTGAATCAGGAGAAATATCTGGGACAAGACATGGTCATCTGCATGAAAATTCCTGCCAATGAAAGGCATGGAATCTAGTGAATTTGGAAAATATTTCAATATAAGATCAATACTTGTTTCAGAGCAGCATGATCCAATAGAAGAGCGTTGTTGTCAATATGGTACACGTGGGAAATGTTTAAAGAAAACAGATTAATTATACAAATGAAATGTGATGGGAAAAAAACATTGTAAATATAGCGAATGTGGGAAAACCTTCGGCGATCACACCACACTTGTTCAGCATCAGAGAACTCATACCGGAGGGTGAGCCTATAGATGTAATGAATGTGGAGAGGGATTTAAGCAGAGTTGTCACTTCACAAACCATCAGAAGACTCATGCAGGAGGGAAGCCCTACAAATGCAATGACTGTGGGAAGGCCTTCAGTTATTGCTCAGTTCGTATGCAATGTCAGGGAATTCACAGTGGGAGAGACCTTACCAATGTACTGCACGTGACGTGGCAAGACACTCAGTCATAGCACATACCTTACTCAGCATCAAAACATTCGCACAGGTGAGAAACCCTCCAAACGCCTTGAATGTGGAGAGGCTTTTAGCCACATCTGGGATGGGTTATTGCTTCAGTTACTGCTCAGTTCGTATGCAATGTCAGGGAATTCACAGTGGGAGAGACCTTACCAATGTACTGCACGTGACGTGGCAAGACACTCAGTCATAGCACATACCTTACTCAGCATCAAAACATTCGCACAGGTGAGAAACCCTCCAAACGCCTTGAATGTGGAGAGGCTTTTAGCCACATCTGGGATGGGATGGGATGGGATGGATGGGGAGGGATAGGGTGAGACGGGTGGAGTGGGTGAGGTCGTCTGGAATGGGGTGGGGTGGATGAGGATGAGGATGAGGACATTTTCGTCCGAGGCGGGAGTGCTTACTCCATGCTCCAGGCTGCCCCCTTCCCCCGCCTCCCCCCGCCCCAAGGTTTCCTCAGACCTTGCTGTTCTTCGACCCGCAGCGACAGCCCCCTGAAGAGGCGGTTCAGAGGCTGAGTCTGGCCCACTGCGCAGACTCGGAGGTGCTGCGGGAACCAGTGGGGGCGGGATGAGGAAGGATTGATGGTGGGGGTGGGGATGGGAGGGTTGCTAAAGAGGCTGAGGGAAGGGAAGGGAGGTGAGGAGGGAGGAGGAAAAAGACGAGGAGAAAAACGGAAACCGTTCTCCTGATGGAGACGCCCTGGTCCTCAGCCGGGGCCGCCGTTCGACTGCAGGGCGGGAGGTGCTGCGGGAACCAGTGGGGGCGGGATGAGGAAGGATTGATGGTGGGGGTGGGGATGGGAGGGTTGCTAAAGAGGCTGAGGGAAGGGAAGGGAGGTGAGGAGGGAGGAGGAAAAAGACGAGGAGAAAAACGGAAACCGTTCTCCTGATGGAGACGCCCTGGTCCTCAGCCGGGGCCGCCGTTCGACTGCAGGGCGCAGCTGGAGATCGTGGACCGCCTTGGGAGTTTTGCAGCAAATCCAGTGTTAAGCTGTATTCGACAGCTGAACCAAATCTACGTCTAGATCTCACATATTTAACCTTTCCTAAGGAAAGCCCTGCCACACCCCGCCTGAGTATCAGTCTGCCATGGCGGTGTGGCCCTCCGGCCAGGAATCTCGCCCTCTGCTTGATGACTTAAGACATTTCGGGTAAATTAAGACTCCTTGGCTATGGTACTTTGCCTCCTCGTGTAAAATGCCCTCCCTGGCCCCCCGCGATGGGGACAATTGGAAACACTGAGTCAGAGACGACCCCTTCAGTTGCGGGGACCTCATGCCCTATTGCATGGAAGAGGTGACGAATTCCGCATTTACTTCCATTAAAGGGCTTTTCAAATTATTATCTGCTTATTATGCTTTGATTGATTGTGCATCACAAAGAGATGCAAATATAACACAATCCACAAGAAGTATTTTTAACAGATTTGGGGGCACAAGAAATAACATCAGATTTCAATGTCCATATCTGTATTTGGTACAGAGAGATTTGGTGGGAAAATGAAGAAAATACTAAACAGAAAATGATGTATTGCAATAAAGCTCCATGGGAAGTGACAAATTCAGGGAAATAAAGAGTCGACGTAAAATCTTCCACCGAAGATCAAAGAAGGGCTCCCTGGCTCGCCGTCTCGTTGACATTGAATTACTATAGTTTTTAAGACAGAAGTCACTATATCCTTCAGTAGAATTTAAATTTGTGAAGAAAAATTTAGACGTTCACTGATTTTGAGAGGGAATACCAAGTTTGTAAAAAATACTTTTAGAAGGAGTAAGAACACCCCAAAAGCAGTGAGGTGTACAGTAGGGCCAACCACATTCATTCCTTCCTTTTTAATGACTACCTTTTTTCTTACACCAAGAAAAAAAGGTCATATTTTACCAAATTTGGCAGATTCTTACCATTGCTCTCCACTGCTTGCTTTTCACTTTTCTTCTCTTGGTTTTTCATTGTTTCTTTGTGTCTTTTTTGGTTATTTCTTGGTGTCCAGTAAGTAAGATTTAGCTAAGCATTCCATACATATTTAACGGTAGCAATCAGTTGGTTTCTGCTTATTTTCCCTCCTTCGACTGTGTTAAAATAAGGATTGTCTTCTTGTGGCCCTTTACGTACCTTCTCTACCGACCTGTAAAAACCTTAACAGGTGCTGGATGAATTGACTCTGGGGGGTTAAACATCTGCTTGGTTCCTTTTCCTGAGCACGACACTGGCTCAGGGCTACCACTGAATTCAAATAGTCTCTACTCCTAGCTACAAACCCAGGTAAAGTTCTCACTCAGAGCCTGGGTAACTCAATCGGCAGAGCATCAGACTTTTCATTTGAGAGCCCAGGATTCAAGTCCCTGTCCAGGCGGTGAGGTTTTGTTCCCCTGATGCAAAGGGTGCTAGGTTTTTGGCTTGAGGAAATTTGGGTTAGAGTTTGACAACTTTTATTTGCCTAAAATGAGACGCCATGAAGTCAGTTACCATCCACCTCAACTGGTAGCTGAGATTTGCTCCTTCTATTCCAAGCAGAAGATGGAGGTTTCCTGCAGGACACAGCTGGAAAGGCTTACAGCCCACGGAACATAAAAAAGCTAACTCTCCAGACTCAGACGATTTAGAAAAGGAACCGGAAACTGTAGTTATTGGTGACAGTGTTCACCGTGTCAAACCCAGGACCTCTAGGTGTTCAGTCCTTCGCTCCCATGAGCTACATGGCAGATGGGGAAAGCTCTCCACCGCACCTGGCCAGGTCACATTCTAAAGATAAGCACAATGGCAAGGAGTCGTTTGACGGACACTGCAGGATTTGTGGACTGTGATGGCTATCGTTAGACACCTATTAGGAGTGATAAAAGAAAATGGCGACACTGACAAAGGCTGGCGAGGTGCAGAGAAACTGTTTGTCATACATTGTGAAATGGTACAGCCATTCTGGAAAACAGTTTGGAAGTGCCTTAAAAACTAAACACCCATTTACCATACACCCGTACTCCACTCCTGGGCATTTCTCCCGAAACAATGAAAATGTGTCCACACAAAGGCCTGTAGTTATTATTCGTAGAAGTTTTATTTGTGAAAGCCCAAGCCTGGAGACAACCAAAACGGTCCTCCAGAGAGGAGTTCTTAAACATGGCGTAGTACTCAGAAGCAAAAATGAACTACTGATACACGCAACAATTTAGACATACCTCAGAGGCGCTGTGCTAAATAATAAATATAGTAATAAGAAAGCCACTTTTAAAAGGTTACACCCAAAAGCTTATAGTCCTAAAGATAAAAGGTTGACGACATGGCACGGGGCTCCGTCCACAGTCCTTACACAGGCCGCTGCAGACAAGAGCTGGCGTTCGGAGACGCCCGCAAAGTTCTGCTCTCAGATACGAGCCACGGGAAAGGGAGGGCCCATCGTTATTAGATTGTTATCATTGTTATTATTACTGTGTCACAACGGCCCCACGCGACAGGCAACCGAAATTGTGGCTGCCATGGAATAACTGGAGCGATAAACTCAGTTTACTCTACTCCAGGGGCACCATCCTTGTGAAATTTCTGTGCTCTTGCAAGCAAAAACTTTCTCTTTTATTCGAAAGATCGTCTGGGAGACTTTTGACAGGAAATGAACAGACCAGTTAACTCACCTGCTCCAGGACTCCCAGGATC